TTCATAAAGATATCTCAATTTTTACTCAAGTTACAGCTTGCACGGACGGACAGACAGTCACCGGGATTTCAACTCGTCTCTTCATCCTGATCATTTATATATACATAACCCTATATCTAACTCGATTAGTTTTAGGTGATACAAACAACCGTTAGGTGAACAAAACTATTATACTCTGTAGCAACAGGTTGCGAGAGTATGAAAAATCAATATCGAAAAACCAAATTGATTACAATCCAATTTCGTATTATAGTATGTTGCATATAATATAGCTCGTGGGCTCTCTTAGTTTCATTACTAAATTTTGCTTCTTGTCCGAATTATTAAAAAAACAAGAAAAACGTTAACTTCGGTTGCGCCGCAGCTATAATACCCTTCACAAGAACAAATGCCCCTTACAAGAACTTGATTCCGAACGTTCAATTTGTATGACAGCTATATGATATAGTGATCTGATCTGACCAATTTCTGTGGAGAATAATTTGTTGCCTTAAGCAATAACTCGTGCCTAATTTCGTGAAGATACCTCGTCAAATAAAAAAATGTTCCATGCAAGCACTTTACTCCGATCGTTCAGTTAATATGGCAGCTATATGCTATAGTCATCCGATCCATACAATTTCTTCGGAGATTAGATTAATGCTTTAAATAATAATACATGCCAAATTTCGTGAAGATACCTCGTCAAATGAAAGAGTTTCCCATACAAACACTTGATTCCGATTGTTCAGTTTGTATGGCAGCTATATGCTATAGTGGTCCGATATCGGCCGTTCCGACAAATGAGCAGCTTCTTGCGGAGAAAAAGAAGTGTTCAAAATGTCAGATCGATATCTCAAAAACTGAGGGACTAGTTCGCGTATATACAGACAGACGGACAGACGGACGGACAGACAGACAGACGGACATGGCTAAATCAACTCAACTCGTCACGGTGATCATTTATATATAATATATACACTTTATATGGTCTCCGACGTTTCCTTCTGGGTGTTACAAACTTCTTGGCAAAATTAATATACCCTGTTCAGGGTATAATTAATATTTATAATAAATAACTTAAACGAAATATTGGGTATATAATTGGAAATCATTATATTAGAGATAGGTTTTATAGCATAACATTCATATTCACGTTATGGTTAAGTAATTCGCTAAATTCTATTAAAGTATCATATTGTAACGGATTTCTCGATAAATCGTCTACCTGTAACTCACTCTTGAGTTCGATCACTGTATTGTTAAATAAAAGTCCCAATTTAATGGTTATACGCTTATCTTTATTTCTATTTCCAACAACTTAACACTTATTGCTCGATATTCGAGTTTACAACTTATTGCTTATAGCTTAATTGCTGTTTACACGACAACACTCTAATTAGAACTGTTTCTGCTGCACAATCCGGCAGCCCTTATATAGTAAAACAAAAGCAGAGAATGTTGATGAGTAGAGAAGGAGCAAATGTTAAATGAAAACTTTTTGAGTACTAATTTGTAATTCCACAAGAGGGAACATCGAAAAGTATAACTTCGAAAAAGAAAAATACACCACACAATATGCGAAATGCTATAAATAGACACAACGAATATTCCTATATGAAAAATCGTTGCGCATACCTATTTAGATTTATGTTTTCAATTTCTATGATATGACAACTTTATAATTATGAAAAGCCTTCTGAATTAAAAATCTGTATTACCGGTAAAAACCCCAGAATTCATAATAAAATAAACATTTAATAAGCTAGTTTTCTAACTTATGTATGTGCGTTGCGTAAGCAATATACTTATTAAACAAATGATAATAATAAAACGGTGGCTAAGCGGCCACGTTTCCACTTTTGTGGTGGCTTAGGTCGTAAGCGGGAAGGGGTTAAGCACAATCCGAATACGAGCCTATACGTTCGAATCCTAAAACGAATTTTATTTAATTTTTTTATTTTATTAATTGGAGTCTAAGCATATCATAATTCAATTTCTTTAATAGCATATTTTACTTCCTGAGATAATTAAAATATATCAGGAAAATATAATATGTTCATATGTTTAGGTTTATTGAATATTTCCTTATTATGCGTATTTACACAAATGTGATAATCACACATACATTCTTAAATACACGTACGCTGATGCTTGCTTCTTCTTGCCCCGCACAAGCAATGACTTTTGTCTACGCTTTTTGCTTTTTGCGATTTGAACGATCGCAGGATATAATATATATTATATTACGAAAATAATTCATAAATGCATCAGTATTTTTCAATACAAATTAAGCAACATATCAATATATTATGAGCCCTCACTTGACACGCCTATGTGCATGGTGGCAAGCCAACGAAATAACGGCGAGATCGCGCGGACATTGTGTTGTTGAAAAAAACCAAATGACGACTTTGCCGACAAACATACATATTTATATACATACATACAAACGAGCTCGCATACATATTGACGCCAAATTTTGCGCATCGTCGCGGAGTTGACAAAATTTGTTTCAATCGACAATTTTGCGACAATGTCGATCGGCTATGTTGTCTCGTTTGTCCTTTTTGCAGTGGTTTGCTATTGAAAGTTGACTTATGCTCTTTTGAAATATTGCGATTACCAATTGGGCTGCATTTTCATAGCGTCGTATTTAGATAAAATGGGCTAAATCGAAAAACTATGAAACAATGATAATAAGTAAACATATAAAAGTACTATATGGACTGTGCTTAGAATATATAGAAGTAGTTAATGATTTCATATGAATGTCAATTTGATATAAATTTTATAATTTAATGCCATAAATAGTGCATAATATGAAAAAATATAAATATTATTCATACTCGAATAGGTCATGTTGCCAATTCTCCTTTCTGAAGTGAACATCAGACAAATTCTTCAATTTCTGATTTTTAGCAAATGTTGTGAGGAAGCAGCTTGTGGACATACAAATGCGAGGGGGATGGTAGGATTTTCAGTGGTGACTGTCAAATTGTAAAATTGAATTTTTCTCGTTTTACTCAATTTCATTCATTTATTTCGCATATTCGCGGAATTCTATATGAAAACCAAATGTGGCTTACCAGGCGCACAGAAAAAATAGCGCGGCGCAGAGTTATGAACGAGCGCACTTTGCTTTGAAGCAGACGCACGTTCCTTATGAATGAATTTGTTGTCGTTGTAATATGAAATACTTAGAAAATAAGCCGCGAGTTCGCTTGAATATTATTGGCCGATGATGGTGCGTCTACGTTTTTTTTGTCACTTGCGCGAATGTTTGATTTTTTGCGAAAGACATATTGAGGGACATACATATGTACATATGTGTACATATATGCAAATATATTTGGACATGCGAATGAAGGAAGGCAATTTCAAGAATATTCTCACATATAGACATATGAACATTGAAGCAAGTAAACAGCAATAGCCGTTTGAGTTCACAGATTAGACATAAGAGTTTGAATATTGTCTGTGGTGCTGCTTGTATAGCAGACTTCTTTATTGCAACGTGAAATATTTTGCCTAAGTTCAAATCCAATCATATATTATATAGTCCTTTTTTATTTTTATAACCCTTTTTTATGAATTGATATTTGAATTCTATTTTAATATTATTTCCTGATTATTAAATTTTCCTGTCAGAAGTCAATTTCTTTCGTTTTTATTATTTCAATTTTTGTTTATGCGCATATCAAAGAACATCTGTGCATATGTATGTATATACATTTTGCTTATAGAGTGGTGTAGTTCGTTGCGTAAATTGACAGCTGTGGTGACATTTTATTTTCGAACTTGCGCGTTTTCGATGTTCCTTCTTAGCAATTAACATTTTAGTACTGCTAACATTTGCTCCTTCTCTACTCATCAACATTCTCTGACAAAAGTTCGCTACTTTAACATTCGGGCAACTATGAATTCGCTGTCTAGTTGCTTCTGGCAGTTTATCGTCGATTCTGATTTGTTCTGGTATTCTTGTTCGCCACAATATGTTATTTTTGACCAACATAAACGGTTTAAAGCATGGATAAAATTATCCGAAACTCTTTGATTCGAGAGAGCGCTGTCAAAGTCCACATTTTTTATATCATTTGACAGTGGTGCCATTAAGGAAAGAAAATATTTTTGAGATTTTTTAATGTATTTCTTGGGTATTTTTTGGTTTCAATTTTACAGAAAAGTATACATAATTAAAATTAGTTTAACAAGCTAGATATCTTATATGACGTCTTAATATATGTACGTGTATTTTAATCACAAAAGATTTTCAAAATATACTTTTAAAACTAAATTTAACAAAATATTTGAATATTTCAAAACACTTACAAGTTTTAAATAAGCTTACAATGAACATTGCTTAGTTTTTATATACTGAATAAACAAATATCTTTCGATAATTTATTCGGAAGTCAAAGTTTACATAAGATTTGCTGGGATTCTAATCAAAATATATATATATGTTGACAGTTGCTACTGCTAAGCAAAACAATACTCTGCGACAAAATACCCGGTCTATCTTAAAAACAAAACTGTATTAAAACTCTTTAAATAAAGATTAGAAATATACGTAAAAGTCACCATTATTGTTTTATCTATAGTTTAAAGTCAGTGGGGAAGTCAAGATCAATGTAAGTAACTTTTTCGCGTACATTGTTTCCTAGCAACTTTATGAAGATAACTCACACACTGCCCGAAATATTCGGCATATAGTCTGCTAGAATAACGAAAGTCATTATATACTTGTATAATCAGTTAAGATTCGTCACTCTGGGAGATATCTTAATGAAATTCAGAGTTGCCTCTTTTGCTGATAATCTATCTTAAGATATTCCGGTATTAATACCGGAAGTTGTATAATACCGGAAGTTGTATAAATATGCATATGTATATGTACAATGTATATCTTAACATATTTTACCATGCCTTCTTCAAAGTACACTCGTACGCTAAAAATGTTTGGAAAGCGAACATTTGATTAATATAGGTATATTTCTTTTTTATTGCTTACATTTCAGATCCACCAGGTCCTCCATATATCGAGGGTTATACTCAAGGCGAGATTCTACGAAGGGGTCAAACAATAGAGTTGGTGTGTCGGAGTAGAGGAGGAAATCCACCAGCGCAGTTAATTTGGTATAAGAATGGTTCTCAAATCCGAATGGCTTATAGGTGAGTAAAATGAGTGGCAAAATCAGAATTTCTTGTATTAGTCAGCTGAATAACATATTTAACATAGATCTGCGAGTATAGTTTAACGGTCATGAACAGTTTCGAAACATTTGGTCACGATGTGATTTCTCATTAAGTTTCTTGTATAATTTGTTAAGGATTTATTGTTTATTAGTAGTAGTATTGAACATTGAACATTTATGATATATAAGAAGATTTTGCAACTATTTCAGGATTTGCATAACTACATACATTAGCGATTGGTGATAAGATCTCTATTAATTAGTGACTAAATTATCGAATTATTGAAATCTTTGTAGTTTTGTTAATTTATCGGCTCCATTCGTTCACTAACATGAATTATACCGAAAATCCTGCTTCACCGGTCTGCTGATCGCTTGCAGAGACAGATAAACAAAAAATCAATTGAGAAGTTTCCCCAAAGATTAATCCCAATAATTTAAAGTTTTCAACTGTAATAACTTTTTTGGAAAACTAATTTTTGAAATATATAATATTAAATTTTTTGATACGGATATCGTGCGTCATTAGGAGTTAAATTTTTTTTTAGATATAAACTTGAAACAAATTAAACAAAATTGGGGTCTTGTAGTTATATGGTACTTTGTGATCAGAAAGTTTCCGGAAATTGTAAATAAAACGAAAAATGTTTGATCTTCATGAATATTTATTTTGTCGCCTTCAAAATATGCTCTTCTGAAGTGACACACATATGCCACTTCTTTTTCCTATCACTTCATATCTATCTCTATTATACCAACAACCGTTAGGTGAACAAAACTAATATACGCTGTGTTACATATTGCATATTTAACTAAATCGTGAATTGATTACAATCATATTTAGTAGGGTGGAGCGAAAAAAAAAATTTTTTTTTGCTTAGCCTGAGGGTAAAATCTGTAGATTCGCTCCACCCTAATATTTAGTATCTTATTAAGTTATATTATAAATCATAGACTTACTCATAGTTTTATTTCCGTATTTTACTTTACGTCTGCTAAAACTATATTGAAATCATCTTCAAATGAGATATATGTGTCTCACTCAACCGAAGAGGCTATATATAATATAATGAGTTGATGTGGAAAACGTCAACTATAGGATCGGAATTTATTATATTAAGGATGTAAGCTTTAGGTCAAGGTGTAGAACAACTCCACACGTAAACTCCACGGTTCAACCAAGAGTGGTGTTAGACTCGTTTAGCCATATTTCTATATTTACTCCTCTATTTCGACATCTTCATTGACGCTAAATTTATCTATTTTAAGGTGAAAGAGTCTGATTTAATTTAAATTGAGAAATCTATGTAAGTAGTAACTGTAACATAAGGATGTCACCGGAATATATTGCTGAGATATGAGACGGACATCCAGAAATCAATTATTTTTGTCATTCATTATGTTAATATAGTTAACTCAATATTAATCTTGAGTAGTTAAGATGTTGTAAATAACCGTTAAGTGAAGAAAACTATTGTACTCTGTGCAACATATGCAATTAAACGAATTTTTATTATATTTATTAGAACTGCCGGACGTTTATCTGAAAATATCTACACCTTTACTGCAGAAGCGGGCGACAATAATGCACGTTTTCGTTGCGAGGCCAGCAACGTAATGTCGCAGAATCCTTTGAAGGCAGACATTGACATAACTGTACTTTGTAAGTTAATAAAATATAATTTCATTCAAATACATATCTAGATATTATAAACACGTGTATGTAAGTAATTTTATACCTATATCGTCTTTTTTTTTCTGTGTATGTACATGTAAATGGTGGGAAAATTGATTTGATTGTAGACCAAAATTAGCCTTTCGTATGAAAATCGACTCTAGACCACTAAGCTTTGTTTGCGATATTATGCATTACTATCCAGGGTTGCGAATGTTTTAAAATTAAATTAAAATTTCAATTTGTAATTGCCATGTTGGGATTGAGAATTTAATTTTTAATCACAAAATCAAAATTAAAAATTGGTCGTTTGAATTAGCATTTTGTCGACCAGTGCTCTAGAGTTTTGAAGATGAGGGCTTTATGCGAGCTCTAGTTCGAAATGGTAGAACACGAAGTAAGCAAATGCGAAAAAATGTTAATTCATTTTCTTTTTTTGTTCTTAAGTATATACATGGGATCAAATTTTTTTCAAACGTGAATTTGGAATTAAAAATTTAAGTGCGCTTCCAAAAATTTTTTTTAATTTTTGTTCTGTGTTTTTGATTAATTTTTTTTTTCATTCCGGTATTTGGGATTAATATTGTTGTTTTTATTTCTTATTCCTGTATTTGGGATTGCAAAATAAAAAAATGTTTATTCAAATATTAATTCAATCATTTGCAACCCTGCTGCTCCCCAATTTTATAGTATGGAAAACATTTTTTTTTTCTACATATTTTTGATTTATTTACAAACATTTACAAATCAAAAATTTTTTAATTTCCTTGTTTTTTTCATTTTGTTAGAATTTTTCTTTTCATATAATGATAATTCGTGATAATTAATTAAAAACAGCATACCAATTTGTTGACTTATATGTCTTTCGTTTCTTTGTTTATTTTGTACGACTTCCTGCACACGGCAATGTTGACAATAGAACTGTAGTTGTCAAAAAATATTAATAGGTATAAATACGCATCTTTTCAATTAGATTACAGCAATAAAGAAACAATCATACCATAGTTTGTTTTCCTCTTCATAATAATCGTCTCAATTATCAAAATTATTTCGTATAATTTATACTATTATGTTTGTACATACATACGTATACGTATGCTTATTCTGTAGGCTGATGTTGTTTGTTACTTCTATTAGACTAGTGCAGAAGCTATTGAAAATTATAAAAAAAAGAAATAAATTTATGGTAGGTGGATAAAAAACCATACTATGATTTTTTTTTGTTTTGTTTTTAAAGTCAAACTTATCTTTCCGCTAGTTGGTTGATATCTAGTGTTTTAGCTGAATATACAAACCTGGATAATATTGATTATGAACATATACGTCTACATATGTATATAGGAGCTGTATTTATTTGAAGAAGAATATGCTTATTGTTGCACTCAGCCGTAAAAGTGAAACGATATTACTGGCAAAGGTCAACTGGCAAAATCTAATGACATATTTTTGTCGTAGTCGCCATACGACATCTTACCTGAGTTAAAAAAAATTAAGCACTGGATAGCAATATTAAAGCTTGTGATATGTTCTTAACATTATTGTAATATATGTTCCTTGTGTTGACACACAGATGTCTAATTTTGTTAATAAAATCGAAAAAATAAAAATAATTTTGAAAATACAGCACTGGAAATATTGAAATTAACATGTCTGTATTATTTTTCTATCAGAATTTTCTATGAGTCCTAACATGATTTTATTAGTCTTTGGTTGTTTTTTAATATTAATCAATATCAACAAAACTTCATAAATATGTACATCCATATGTACTTGTACATACATTACCTATATAATAACTAGTTAGTCGCCTTCCTTTTTACAAATTACTGGATTTTTTTAAATACTTCTGGTTAATTGTCACGTTTCATTTATAATTGTTGTATTATAGAGCCAAAGCACAGGTCTAATAAAATAACTTATTAGAAAAATGCTACATAATTTGTATAAGTCTGATGTTTTTCAGTTAATTTTTTAATATTTCCTAAGAGTTTGTTGCTTCCCTGCAGGGTATACACTGGCATACCTGCATGAGTATGTGTACATAGTATGATCAAAAACATGAATGTAAATGTGTGTGTGCACTCAAACAAAATACGTTTCCTTAAAGCATTTCAAACTACCCAACGGATGTATTTTACCTATTTTCTTAAAACATGCGTACAGTTGCATATCTACACGTTAATCGTATTTCTCTCTGGTTTACACAATCGTATATTGAGCGCATAAAGTTTTAAGCATTGTGCTTTCATCACAACCACGTACCCCCTAAGAGTATGAGTATGCATCCAGTACTTGGCGGGGGAGCTGAGACTCAACAGTTGATGAGGCTGTGGCAGCTGTTGTTTTCCCAAGGCGTTGTTTCTGTTTAATATGCCAAGTGTTGTCAAGCGCACTCATACTTCATACTCGTACCAGTGTGCATCTACATACGAGTAGTGCATATACATATATAAGTACGTACATATGTTTATAAATTTGTACTAGTAAATACATTGTGTATATATATTTACATAAATGTATGCATATGATATGCTATTTAATGTGTACGCCTTGTTCAAATGTGTTGTGTACAAAAAAGTACAGGTTGGTTGAACAGTTTCTGCGCTCAAAATGAAACACTAATTCCAATAATCGTCAAATAATTTTATGCCATCAATGCCACTGACTTTCCGGAAGCTCTGCAAAATACCCGTCTACGGCTTCTTCATTCGACGAAAAACGCTTTCCACAAAGGAATTGTTTCAGGTTTGTGAAGAGGTAGTAGTCGCTGGGAGCCAAAACTGGTGAATACGGTGGATGCTCAAGCAATTTGTACTTTAATTTGTTGAATTTTTTTTGTTCGTTACATAACCTTTGTGAGCAGGTGCATTATCTTGATGAAAAATTATTTTTTGAAAACCAGTGTTTTTGTGTTGAAAATTTCTCACGAATTTTTTCATTCAGCTGATCCAAAAGGCTGTAATAATATTCAGATTTGATTGTATTACCTTTTTGCGGATAATCAATCAACAATATTCCTTTTGCATTCCAAAAAATTGATGACATGATCTTCTTTGTTGATCGTTGTGATTTCACCTGCTTTGGAGCTGAACAACCAGTTTCTCTCCATGTAAACGTTTTTGTTTCAATTTAGGATCATGGTGGTAGATTCAAGTGTCATCCATAGTTGTAAAACTATTCTGCTTAAAACGCACCAAATTATGCGGATGTAATTATGTAATTTTCCATGCAAAATACGAAGTACTAGTTCGTCTGAGATGCCTATGGCATTAGCAACTTCAAGCTTAGTCAAACTTGGATCTTCACTAACAATATTATGAACTTGCTCAATGATTTGTGGTGTGGTTGCGGTTTTTGGTCGTTCTTCGCGTGAATCGTACTTCCTAGTGCAATCACGTTTAAATTCACCTGCCCAAAATTCAACGGTGCAGTGGTGAGGACTCCTTTTACACTTCTAACAATTGTTCATAAATTTTCTTTGCTTTTAAATCTTTCAAATCATAGAATCTAATCGCTGCGCGATATTCAATTTTTCCAATATTAAAAAAATACTCTGACGCGTCAACTTCAAATGGTATGTAAACAATGAATTAATTGCCAGAATGACATGTAACTTTGCATGTGTTTTCACAACAGATGTACCAACTCAAAGGAAAATTTTTGGAGATAGTAGTTCTATTTCTTTGTAAGAGCAGAAACTCTTCAGCCAACCTGTTTGTATGTTCTTATATTCAAATACCAAGAGGACAAATTAACAATTACAATACTATATGTATGCATGTGTTTATTTTTTGGAGCCTCTGGAAAATTTTAAGATCATCGATTGCACTAGTACTTAAATTACTTTTCTTTTTATACCCTGAACAGGGTATATTAATTTTGCCACGAAGTTTGTAACACCCAGAAGGAAACGTCGGAGACCATATAAAGTATATATATAAATGATCACCGTGACGAGCTGAGTTGATTTAGCCATGTCCATCTGTCTGTCCGTCCGTCCGTCTGTCCGTCTGTATATACGCGAACTAGTCTCTCAGTTTTTGGGATATCGATCTGAAATTTTGAACACTTCTTTTTCTCCCCAAGAAGCTGCTCATTTGTCGGAACGGCCGATATCGGACCACTATAGCATATAGCTGCCATACAAACTGAACAATCGGAATCAAGTGTTTGTATGGGAAACTCTTTCATTTGACGAGGTATCTTCACAAAATTTGGCACGGATTATTAGTTAAGGCAACAATGTAATCTCCGAAGAAATTATTCAGATCGAATGACTATAGCATATAGCTGCCATACAAACTGAACAATCGGAATGAAGTGCTTGTATGGAAAACTCTTTCATTTGACGAGGTATCTTCACGAAATTTGGATATATTATTATTTCAAGCATTAATCTAATCTCCGAAGAAATTGTATGGATCGGATGACTATAGCATATAGCTGCCATATTAACTGAACGATCGGAGTAAAGTGCTTGCATGGAACATTTTTTTATTTGACGAGGTATCTTCACGAAATTAGGCACGAGTTATTGCTTAAGGCAACAAATTATTCTCCACAGAAATTGGTCAGATCAGATCACTATATCATATAGCTGCCATACAAATTGAACGTTCGGAATCAAGTTCTTGTAAGAGGCCTTTGTTTTTGTGAAGGGTATTATAGCTGCGGCGCAACCGAAGTTAACGTTTTTTCTTGTTTATTATTTAGTTTTAAACGCATTTAACTCTCTGTCTGCATTTTTTATTTTTTCTGATTTTTCTAAATTGTCCTAAACATAGTCAATACTATGACTATCAAACAGACATAAATATGTATGTTGCATGTTAATATGCAAACCTTTCTGGAAAGTACATTTTATTTAATCGGAGCGGATCCAAATTTTTTTTCTTACCGAAGACGATGCCGATGTATGTATGTATATGCTGTATATTATATATCGCCACATCAAAAAGAATAATAACACCTACAAAACCGTTGTTCAGTTTCCACACAACTAACTTTTGTGATATGAAATAGAGTTTAGGTAAGTAACATTGCCGAATCGGGCATAAAGTCTTCGACTCCATGTTCTCGATTTGCTGGTATGTACGTGAAATAGGTTATTGTTTTGAATAAGTAAAGTTTTTTGGTGAAAAATGTAGTATAAAGCTTTCCATCATAGCAACGCACTGTACCACACTCTGGGGTATTTTTCGAACAAACACGCATGTTAGTATGTAACAATAAGCGACTCAGAAACATATGGTCCAGATTTTTGTTATACATACTTATGTATGATAATGAGATAAAAAAAAAATTTATAAACTATATGCATATATATGTATGTAATTCTTAATTATTTTCATTAAATAATCCACGTCTATCATAACATTTCATCCCAAGTTGCTCCGACACATGTATCGATTTCGGGACCTACTGAAGCGCGTGTTGGGGTCGTGGTATCACTAACATGTACAACTGCACCGTCTAATCCACCAGCGGAAATAAAGTGGATGGTCGGCGGGCGTCAAATTCGAAATGCCACTTCAAAGACAAACGTGAGCTCTGAAGGTATATGAAAGTTAAAATTATTATGATTGCTTTAAAAATAAGGTGATATAATTTACATATGTATATAGATTTATGTGTTCCTATTTGCCCGTTTGCATTGATTTCAATACTATATTTTCAGGTGGATGGGTTACTGTTTCCAATATAAATACAACTGTTGAACCCAATAAAAAATCTCTTGTAGTAATTTGTCATGGACTAAACATGCAGTTAACAGAGAACGTTGTCTCAACACATACAGTAAATATTTTGTGTGAGTATTATATATCTTTCAGTTATACTTATGTATATCAACACATTTCCGTTATTAATATTATTGATGATTGACATTTTTTGTATTTCCCAATGTTAATTATTTTATAACGGCAGGCAAATATCACAGCGGGGGCTAGTCACGTTAGATATTTTATATTTATAAATAGCCCAACTCAATCCTTTGTAACAAGGAATATGTTGGGTATATACATATGTGTGGTATGTAAATGGGTATATGATACTTAAATATGCGTTTATAAGCATATTATGCGACTTAGGAATAAAAAATTGAGTATGCCTACATACATATGTATATTATATATTATAAGTTAGTGCTATTAAATATTATACAATGTTTTTCCTTTCTCACAAAAACCGTTGAGCTCGGAATTCAATTGTGTTTAAAGTACAATATGTTACTCAAGATGTCCAGAATCTTTAACATTTATACAAGTAATTTTCACTGCATATAAAGCAAAACTCAAAAGTCTTAAAATGAAAAATAAAATGTTAACAATAATTATTTTTCTCGATAACTTGCATTTGCATTCATTGAACTTTTCATGAGGATCATTATAGTATTCAACAGACGCTGTTAGTTAATTACAGCTCATGAAAGATGTTTTTGCTCAAAATTTCGGTGACAGAATGTCAATATGTTTGACCTGCATAATTAATTGAATTAAGCGTCGATCGTCTGGTTCATACATTTAATACAAATACAAACACAATTTGAAATTTTCAGCGTTTTGTCTGCTTTGGTCCAATTTATAAGAGCACGCATACCATACTTATCTGTGTTAAATTATAGGTGGGCATATGACTAATAATGGTAATAATGTGTAGTGATAAAAAAAACTTCTCAAACCCTCATATATCTAACATAAAAATTGACTTTATACCATATATATCGGTAAATATGTAAAATGTTTTAGTAATATTAAGCGAATTCATAATATAATATATGATTTAATATAGTCAAATGTGTGAAATCGGTCCACCAATTACCGCAGCTGCATATGACACATATCGAATATGTCATTTAATGTGTGAGTTATCTTTATTTAATTGTGTAGAAACATATTTTACAGTATACTTGAGTAATGCCAAAAGTTAATACAATCAATCCAGACCTTCCCCTAACTAACTTTTAACCGTTTATTAATGAAATCGGTTTTTTTCTTGATCTAAACCCCATATCCCTAATATAATGGTTTTCGATTCTCTGGTTGATGCATTTATGTTGACTTTGCTGAGTATTACGACACTCTGATTAGTCCTGTATTTGATTTTTTACTAGTTTAAGATAAATGAACGTAATATGGTATGTTCATTATACGGGTTGTGGAGATCGTTAACATGATAATTTGCATACACATATGTATGCATACTGCGGAAAATTTGGTGCAATCCTTTTAACGTTTTTGCCTCTTTTACAGATCCCCCTTCGACCCCAATAATTTCTGGCTACATGGAAGGACAAATTATACCAGCCGGTTCTGTGCAAAAACTACTATGTGTCTCTTCAGGTGGAAACCCCTTAGCCACCCTCATTTGGTACAAGAACGATAAGAAAGTAAGTAAAATAGATTTCAAATAATAATTTTATAGCTAAAAATTTTTTATTTAACAAGTTATCTGCACCAAATTCGGCATGCTTTATTGCCTAAGACAATGGTACAATCTTGTTTTTTTTTTTTTTTTTTTTTTTTTTTTTTTTTGTAATAATAATAACATAACGATTACCCTCCTCCCGCTCAACCGACGCGAGGGGCGCAGTCCGCATACGTGCGGAATTAGCCGAGTCAGAAAAGGCAAGAGAGTTTTTTAAGTGTTGAGATCTAAAACTGCTCAGCTACAGAAACAAAAATTTCAACAGCTAAGATTTTAGTAACAATATAATCAATTGTTACATTTTCATTCATTAAGAGAAAACAATAAAGACTTTTTAATTTTGAAAAGTGAGTCAGATAAGTCAAATGTGCTGGAATGAGAATTAAACTCATGACATATACGGCGGAATGGCTCGTTTTGTGCAAAATTTTATCTACAGAATTTTAACAGTAAAGGTCTAAACTGCCTCGAAAAGCGAATCGGGATATTAAACATTCAAGATTTTCACTAAGAATATTATGCTAAACATTTTCCTACGACTAGAAAGTGTAGGTAGATTAATAAGTTTTAAACGACTAGTGTATGGAGGTAGATTTACCCTAGAATCCTATCGGAAATGCGTTAAAGCAAAAGGAAAAATTGTTTTTGAACATACTCTAACTTGTCAGAATGGATTTGGTAGTTAGGGTTTCATACAACAGAGCCATATTCCAATATAGGTCTAACCAAAGTTGTATAAAGTGTTTTAGTAATATACGGATCTGTAGATTTTTTAGACCAACGTTTAACAAAACTGAGGACAGCTTTTGCTTTCAAGACCATGGTGTCAATATGAAGACAAAAATGAAGCTTAGTGTCCATATTAACTCCCAAATCAACATAGTTAAAAACTTGCTCCAGAATATGATGTTTTATTACATAAGAAGAGGGGTGCACAGATCTACGGGAAAAGCACCTCGTCTTTCATTTATTCAGATTCAATGGCAAATCATTTCTATCACACCATGCAACCATATTGTTTAAGTTTGCAATATACACCTTTCCTCAGTTGAAGTGTATGATTTAAAAAGCTTTACGTCGTCAGCGTATAATAAAATTTTTGAGAATTCTATTACTGAAGAGATATCGTTAATAAACAACAAGAACAGAATCGGGCCAAGATGACTACCTTGCGAAACACCTGAAGAAACATTAATTGTATCTGAAGGTGTATCCTCAAATATCACTCGTTGTGTTCTATTATAAAGATAGGAAGATACCCATTGAAGGAATCTTGGCTGAAAGCCCAGCAGATCAAGTTTATGTATGAGAATCGAGATATTTACTTTATCGAAAGCTTTGCTAAAGTCTGTGTATATAACATCCGTATGCTTATGTTCCCTAAAACCCAATGATACAGATGAGTTTACAAATTCAAGTAAGTTTGTTATAGTCGAATCCCTTTACGAAATCCATGCTGAGATGAGGAAATTAACGGAGAAATCGAAAAGGTTATATGGTCAGTGATGATGCTTCAAAAAGTTTAGGAATTATAAATGACTGTTTCCATATTGAAGGAAATATACCGTGTTTAAGAGAGGAATTAAATATCCTTGTCAAGGGCAAGTAAATATTTTTGGCACTATTTTTTAGGAAGCATGAGGGTACCATGTCTGGGCCGTAACTAAAAGATGGTTTTAACTTATTTAATTTAAGTAGGACGTCTTCTTCAGAAATAATTGGAGCGTTAATTAAAGTATTCGAACACAGCACGTGCTGATAACAAAAAGTTTTGGGAGAATTATTACAGTAGTTACTTGAAAAATTCTCCAAACATATTGGATATAATAACATTGTCAGTTGAAATGATAAATTTTTATTTCATCGCGGATGGAAATTTGGAAATCCTGCGTTTGGAATTGACGAAATCATAAAACGATTTTGGATTACTTACAACTTCCTTTTTACTTTATTTAAGTAATTATTATAATATTTTTTGTTTAGGTCAAAATATTGTCGACGCAATACGGAATATTTAGAATAGTTGACAAGTGAACCGGTTTTTTCAAAATGTTTAAATGCTCGAGTTTTTCTTTTTTTCAATTTATATAACTGTTTCGACGACCACGGACTTTTACTTTTATTAACAATTACTATTGGAACATACTTTTCAAATAATTTCATAATAATGTTATTAAAATGAGAGGCACTCAATTCAATGTCACCATTATAATTAGGCCATGTTATTGTAGAAAGTTCTGTATTTAACTTTTTAAAATTAGCTTTTGCAAAGTTAAACCGAGTCCAGAAGCACGAAGTTTGATGATTATTATCCCGTACAATGCCTGAGATTTCGACAGATATTTCCAAAGCAGGATGATATGAGTCCTCTGGTAGAACAAGAGGATTACTCTGAATAACGGAACACTTTGCAAAGGTATCAACGTATACTAAATCTAAGCATTTATCAAATTTATTCGGAATCAAATTAATTTGGTTCAGACCCAACTCGGACATTTTTTCGAAAAACTCATTAAAACATGACCGATTGCAAATCGGCACGATATAGTCATCGAAAGGTTTCCACGAAGCACACGGTAAATTGAAATCACCTAATACAATTATTGAATCTGCATTATTTGCCATCGAGGTAGCACTATTTATTAAAGAAGCATGCTGCATGTATACAGATAAGTCCGAATGGGGTGGTATATAAGATAGGGTTAAATAAATAAAGCAACTATTAACGTATACTCTAATACATTTAAATTCAAATGAGTCGGTCCCTGGAACAATAATATTTTCAGATGGGATAGAGGAATGCACAGCAAATAGAACACCTCCACCGATTCTGTTCAGTCGATCACATCTAAAAATTTGAAATTCGCTGTTTAAAATCTCATTATCAAAAATGTGAGGTTTTAACCAAGTTTCTGTAAATCCAATAATATGGAACTTAAAATTGGAACTGTTCAAATACAAGTCGGTTAATTATGTATTAAGACCTCTAACATTTTGATAATAAATGCTTAGCGAATTTCTACCAATCAGTTTTTTATATCGGTGGTTGCTTTTGGTAATTTAACAATGTTTTCCTCAGTTTGACTTCTAAGTTTAGGCTTAAATTCGCGTACAAAAGCCCCAGGTGGCCAGAATGAACTATCTAAGATCTTTTTGAATGTTTCAAGAGATACGTCTATTTTAAACTATGATATACTTCTATCATAATTGAAGTTAAATTTAAGTATATTGATATCATCGATTTTTAAACGTGACGAAATGTAAGATTTAATGTCCTCCACCAAGGTATCTTTGGCAAGTCTCGAAATAAATATAGACATTTTAGGTGGAATAACTATCAAATTATTAACTGATGCTACTATGTTATTAGGGGGAGGCTCTGGAATTGTGAGACACTTATTACTATTAGATAGAGCTTTAGGGGAATTGAGATCTTTGGAAGTTGGCGGCTTATCACCTTGAGGGCAAGGAGAAGAGAGATTTATTAGGTCATCGGGAGGAGACGTTCTTTTCTGTACAGAAGAACTAAGTGTTACTTCATCGGAAGGACGTTTACGCTTAGGAGCAGGTTTAGAGGATTCGTGAGAATCACTTAAAAGATTTGAACAATTTTTCATAGTGCTTAAATTTTTCAGTGAGGGTTACAAGATCTCGACCGATTTCGTTAAAGCATTGCGTGTCTCCCTATAAACTATAAATAGATCGATTTCAATAGATCTACAATTTAAACAGGACCAACGCAATCTCTTGGAGTCGAGAATAGAATCTAAGATTCTATCTGTCAGTCCAGCACATTTAATATGGGCAAGCCCATCACAAAGCCAGCATGCAACATAGCCATCTGACTCGCCTTTAATGTTACAATTGGGGAAGTTACAAGACATAATAAACAACAAGAATGAAGATCAAATAAAAGAGTTGTGTAAATGAGTTTAAACTCCCTCCACCAAGTGCACCACTCTACTCGGGAAAAACTGACACACCCTAATGAAACATACCACACCTGTAAACACTCAAGGAATTTCACCCCACAGAACGACACCACCACACTCTGCCTCTGAGAACAACATGCACGAAGACACCTAACTAAAAGGACGGGATCATCGCTAAATCAACATTCGATTTTTGGAAAGCTGCTACAGCGATCCTACACATTGGTTTTCGCTATACGAACCTGCGCGCTACATTTTTCTACGTATTTTTAATTCGTTATATAAACTTTTTCCATATAATACTGATCCTGGCGATTAACTAATTTTTCGTATTTGGTGCTTCTTTTTACATCGGCCACCGAACGTATTTTTAAAACTAATTTGTGCATTCATTCATTGTGTCTACAACATTAAATATAAAACATATTGTATATAAGTTAAATAAATTGCTTACGCCCCATAAGCGGGCATTTTTATTAAAAAATATTTGCGACCTTTTCTTTGAAATATAGCAAGTGTTACTTTTAGATAAATAGTGTGTGCTCCCCAATATCTTGGGTACAATTCTAATCAGAGTAAGTAAAACAAAATTTAATGGATGTAGAATAAATTAGTGTGTTAATAAAATATTAATAATAATAAATTCAATTAAGAACAAACGCAAAAATAATAGAATTATTTTAATTTTTTTTTTATCAAAGTTCAAAACCAAGGCAGTTTGAAGAAGCAATGTAGCAAGCAGTTTAAGATGCACTGGAACAAATAAAAAGCTGCACGCAACACAGCTGTGAATAAAGAAGTAAATGAGATAAATAAAGAGAGAAAATAGAATAAAATAAAACAAAATGAAACAAAAAGCTGACTCGGCACCAAAAATTCGAAAATTTAAACTTTTTAATAATGCACAAAACTTAAGAACATTTAATACTTAGCTTGCAATTCAGAGTTAAATAACTAAATATTAAATTAAATCACTAAAAAATCAATTAAAGTTTGAGAATTTTGAAAAATTAAACACAATAGTTCACAGCAAAAAAAATTAAATTCTTTGATGAAATTGTTCAGATCGAGTCACTATAGCAATCTCCGAAGAAATAGTTTAGATCGGATTGCTACAGCATATAACTAACTGGCATAAAAACTGATGGAACAGAATTAAGTGCTTTTATAGAAATTTTGGCAATTTGGCACGAGTTATTATCCAAAGTATAACTACATTATTTGAATAAATTATTTAGATCGGAAAACTAAAGCATATAGCTGCCATTCAAATCAAGCGAACAAAATCAACTTTTTTGTTTGTGAAGGGTTATACAAAGTAAAATTGTGTTCAAAATCTTGCAGGAAATGGTCCACATCTTTGGTAAAACTAATAATGGGGATTGAACTAATAATATTTATTATTTTTACCTGCTAGATTTAGTCGATAGTCCGAGACATTAATATTAAAAATATTTTTCTTTAACTTTTACAATTTGATGCCATATGTTAATGTGTATAATTTCAGTGTGATATTATTATATTTATAGGTTAACTCCGTGATACGAACTGCTGATAAATCTGTCTCTGCAGAAATAATCATTCTAGCGAATGTAACTGATAATCAAGCGCAATACCGTTGCGAAGCATCCAATAGTGCGACTGAGATTCCCCTTTTCGAAAGCACTATTCTGAGCGTTCATTGTAAGTATACCCGATTCAAAGTGAACTACAAAAATTTTATGACTTCGTTTTGGTGTGCATAATATATACATTTTCAAAAGCTCAGGTCACTTCATCTGAGAGAAAAAATTACTATTAATTTATATATACAAAATATTGGATTCATATAGTTTAATCAATTGGTGATAACTTGGGTTGTGCTTAATTCAAGCCACATCTATTGCCTTACGGTTATGTTTCGTGATGTGTTGTGTTACGTTATGGATTTTCAACCCAATTAATTTTGCTATTATTGATATTATGTCTTGAAATTTTTTGCTGTAATGAATTAATTCCTACAATAGAGATCATAAGAGTGAAATTCAAACAGCTTGAGTAAAAGAGATTCGCACAAGACAGATTATGACAAATGATCTACATTTTTACCTGAAAATAGAGTTCATCGAAGAGTTTCTGAAAGAAGACAAATACAGTTATCTTTATAGTCCGTCGAAAAAGTAATGGTAGTTAGTCCTATTGTATATGCAAAAGTTTAGGTAAAGTATAGTTAATTGTAGTATTGGTTTGACACCAAATATTAACATAAATGATCCTAAGCATGTAATAGTTAGTCTTCGCGTTAAATATAATTAATAATATCGAATGTCAACGAGTAATGAAAAAAAAAATGTAATACATACATTACAATGTTACGAAAGTTCTCATAATACTTAAATAATATAATTTACAGTTGCGCCAGAAACTGTTAAAATTCGGGTTGAACCTGATATTCTAAAGCCTGGTATGGAAGTTGCTATAATTTGCGATTCGAGTTCGAGCAATCCGCCAGCAAAACTCACTTGGTGGAAGGATGGTATTCCAATCGATGGTAAGTTTAATACGTATAATTTATTTTCAATAGCTATTTTATTGCTATGTTTTTATTTACAATAGTTATTTAAATGATATGTACATATGTATGCATGTAATTTCGATTTTCTACAGATTTGGAATCTCTATTTGGTTATATGCATTATTCAATTATATAAGGCTGTGTTGCTACTTCTTCTAACGAAAATATTTTTTAATCCATATTGTTAAATTTCTCTCATGAATTTATTGCTTACATTTTGATGATTTTATGTGATTTAATACAATCTATTCGTCTTCAAAAAACACATTTTTATTGGCTGGAATGTTTGAAAAATATATATTTGATACTTCCCATGAGTTAATTATATAAGGTGTGTCGATAGCCGAAAAACAACAATTGTCAAAAGTGTTTTTTTGTTCTTCAAGGAAGGATTATGCGTTCTACAACTTATAGCGATTTTTATATAATAAAATCTTAATATAATATATACATTTATGTTTCTAATAAATATAAATTTATTATTTAAGGCATAAATAATTCGTCCAAACCAGGATTGTGGGGAGGCACGGTCTCGACTCTGGAATTCAAAGTGAACGTTTCTCAGGAAATGAATGGTGTGGTTTATACATGTCAGAGTGCGAACGAAGCATTACAACGTAGTGTTCACGAGGCAGTTAGCTTAAACATATTATGTAAGTTCTAACCAATTAGGACGTTGTTATTTATCTTAAGTTTACTTCGTCATCATAGATCCACCAGTGTTTCTTCCGCCCCCATCATCAACTGCTGTAGGAGTTGAAGGGGAATCTTTACAAGTCTCTCTTAGCGCTACTGCTAACCCAGTGACTGTTTTGTACAGTTGGACAAAGGATGGATTACCAGTACCGTCCACTTCCTCCAGCAATGGGCGTGCAGAGCATCGTATATACGCAGATGGAGCTAACCTTAACTTCACAAAACTGAACCGAAATGACGCTGGAATTTATGTATGTGAAGCCAGTAATTCAGAAGGTTCAGCAAAGCTTAATATTACTATTGTAGTGGAATGTGAGTACACAACTGAAAACTTTAAACATAAAATATTTAATTGAAGGGAAATAGTTTGGAAATAAAGTCCTATGAGGAATTAAATTGATTGGCGATCGAAATCAAAGTTACGCCAAAGGCTTTTCAGCCCGCTTTAGCCATGTCCATCAGTCTGTATGTTTGTATATACGCGAACTAGCTGCTGAGTTTTTGAAATGTCGATCTGAAATTTTGCATACTTCTTTCCCTCCCCAAGATGCTGTTCTTTTGTCGGATCCGCCGCAATCGGGACTATATAGTTTATAGCTGTTCTATAAGCTGATCGTAACTGAAAACTGTTTTATTTTACACGAATTTGCCGTGGATTATTGTCCAAGACATTGTTACAATATCGGAATATATTGTTTAGATCGACCCACTATATAGCTGCCATTCAATCTGGCCAATCAAAATGTAGATAGATATCTTCATAAAATATCTTAATTTCTTATTAATAACCTTAATTTGACTTTTATCTCAAACTATAAAAGTACTATCTAGAAAGAAATAGCACTTGCACTTAAAACATTGAAAAGTAGCTTTTTTAGATGTAGTATATACATACATACATATGTTGCTTTAAAAAATGCACCTGTGAACGGTATTATATCTTCTGTGCAGCCGAAGTTAAAGTGTATTTTTTGTTTTGTTAAATTTAGATAGTTTTATATTAAAAACATTTTATGCTATATATAGTGGCAATTATCAAGTTACAAAGTATTTATATCAGAATTTATATTTGATACTGTAAAGACTGCAAACCATTTTAAATTGATGTATTTAGATTAGCAATAAAATTGTTAGAATTGATGTATTTGGCAATGAAAATTTACATATTCTTATATTGGAATTTATTTGATATTGAAATAATCCAGATACTTCTTAGTTGTACCAATTTTTATACCCTGAACAGGGTATATTAAGTTTGTCATGAAGTTTGTAACATCCAGAAGGAAACGTCGGAGACCCTATAAAATACAAGTACATACATAAATGATCAGCATAATGAGCTGAGTTGATTTAGCCATGTCCGTCTGTCCGCCAGTCTGTATATATACAAACTAGTCCCTCAGTTTTTAAGCTATCTAGCTATATTTTGCACCTGTCCTTTTCTCACAAAGAAGCTGCTCATTTGTCGGAAGGGCCGATATCGGACTATAGCATATAGCTGCCATACAAACTGAACAATCGAAATCAAGTGTTTGTATCGAAAACTCTTTCATTTAACGAGGTATCTTCACGACATTTGGCAAGGATTATTATTTAAGGCAACAATGTAATCTCCGAAGAAATTGTTCAGATCGAATGACTATAGCATATAACTGCCATACAAACTGAACAATCGCAATCAAGTGCTTGTATGAAAAAGTCTTTCATTTGACGAGGTATCTTCACGAAATTACGCATGGGTTATTTTTGAAGGCATTTATCCAATCTCCGAAGAGACTGTATAGATCGGATGACTATAGCATATAGCTGCCATACAAACTGAACAATCGGAATCAAGTACTTGTATGGGAAACTCTTTCAATTGACGAGGTATCTTCACGAAATTTGGCATATATTATTACTTAAGGCAACAATGTAATCTCCGAAGAAATTATTCAGATCGAATGACCATAGCATATAACTGCCATACAAACTGAATAATGGGAATAAAGTGTTTGTATGGAAAACTCTTTCATTTGACGAGGTATCTTCTCGAAACTTGGCATGGATCATTATTTAAGGCAATAATCTAATCGCCGAAAAAATTGTATAGATCGGATGACCATAGCATATAGCTGCATTATTAACTGAACGATCGGAGTAAAGTGCTTGCATGGAAAATTTGTTTATTTGACGAGGTATCTTCACGAAATTAGGCACGAGTTATCGCTTAAGGCAACAAATTATTCTCCGCAGATCACTATATAATATAGCTGCCATACAAATTGAACGTTCGGAATCAAGTTCTTGTAAGGAGCCTTTGTTTTTGTGAAGGGTATTATAGCTTCGGTGCAACCGAAGTTAACGTTTTTTCTTGTTTTAATTTTATTTTGTTCATCATTTATTATGTCAGTATCCTTTTTATTCCTATTAAATATTTTACGACAATGTCATGATTTTTATTAAATTTGTGTATCGAATAATTTTATAGATTATTTTGTGCTTACGCTTCTAATTCTCAACGAGACAACCTATTTGAAATAGGTATATGGTAAATCTTCTTAGTTTTGGTGTTAATTATATGAAAAAGCAAACCCTTACAGTTGAGCAAAAGGGTTCATTATAATAGATTTTTTCATCTAACGGTTGTTTGTATTACCTAAAACTAAGCAATACAGACATAGGGTTATATATATATATAGTTGAATTCCGGATACCTGCCTGTCCTTCCGTGCAAGCTGTAACTTGAGTAAAAGATACTCTAGATGTCTTGAAGAAACTTCTTACACTTGTTTTTTAACACGAAAAGAAGGTCGGTGTTGTAGATGGGTGGAATCGGAGCCACTGCCACTCTCACAAAATGTTGTTAATCGAAAATCTAACTAATCTAACTAAGCCGCGCAATAGGATATAAAACTGTAATGTTGTTCAAAGCCTAACACTATTAATATAATCTTAAATCTATTTAAAACTAAACCAGCTCAAGGTTGTGGTTGAGCCTTTTTGATCGGGTTTGAATACAAGATTGTAGCAAGACATTAGCGAAGGGATTCGGTTGTTCCGGGAGTTTGAGCTCGTATTTCTTTCTGCTATCATCTACTTCTTTCTTTACTATAAGAATAACAAGATCTTTGAAAATGTTTTCATTTTGAATGTACCATGGTGAATCCGTTATAGCTCTAAGGATTTTTGATTGGGATCTCTGTATTATGTCAACGTTAGTTGCACAAGTACAGTACCCCACAGTTAAATACTATACATTCAAATTGCCTTTCTTACCGCATTGTATAGCGGAACTTGGTTGTAAAGGCTAAGTTTTGAGTTTGTATTTAAAAGCCAGTTTAAATTTGCTGCTCTTATTTTCATGCTTGTTATTTTGCAGGATACATGTTTTCTCCATATAAGCCTTCTATCCTAGTGAATGCCTAGATAGGTTACATTATTTGCATGTAGTACTAAGTTATTATTCATTTTAATCGGCTGATACATTTTTCGTCTTAGTGAAATTTTAACATGGTTCCCTTTCTGTTCATTTACGTTTATTCGCCAATTAGCTAGCCATACTATGGCTGCGTCGTCCGCAAAAGTAAATGTCAATACTGTTGGAATATCCGCTATATAGGTATATATGATATATAGGGTCTGAGCACACTGCCCTGAGGTACACCAGCTCTTATCGGTGCTTGATCAGATATGAAATTAGCTTCTTTAACAGTAAATTTCCTTTTTGTTTTAAATAAGACTTCAATATTTTATGCAATTCAAAAGGTAATATTGTTTTAATTTTATATAAAAGACTGTCGTGCTATCGAATGCCTGGGCTACATCAAGGAATATTGATAAACAGTATACTCTGTGCTTGAATGGTCTTCTGATTTCGTTAGTTATTGTATTGACTTGCTCTACAATGCCATGTCTTGCACGAAACCCGAATGGGTGCTTTGGAATCATGTTATTTTCATGGAGAAAATGAAACATCTTTAATAGCAACACTTTTTCAAATATAATGGAAAGGCAAGGTAGGAGGGTTATTGGTCTGTAAGAAGACGGCTTTCCCCGGTATATCTATCATAATGATGAATGTCCAAAATTGAAAATTGCATTAAATAGAAAGGAAAGGACTAGGACTAGGAGGTAGCTCCATTAGCATTTTTAAAATAATGTGATCATGCCCTGGCAACTTTTTTGAATTCATCCCTTTAATTTCACAACTTGATGTCTTAATAGGCAAGAACCTAAAACCTTTTCTAGGTGGTTTGCAAAGCAAACTGTCTTTTTCTCTTCGCTTCGAGACCAATTACCTCTCACGTCCCTTATAGGCATGTAAGAATCTATCGGCGGCTTAAATGGTTTTACGCTTTCTAAAGAGGATTCTGTTTTTTTTTTGAATTTGTGCTCAGTTTCTCTATATAATTCTTAGTAGTGTATTCTTTCTCACACTTAAACGCTTTTCCTAATTTACGTACAGCAGACTTCAATTGCAGCTGAGTGAAAGGGGGAGCGATTTACCTCCCATTCACGTTTAGCTCAATTTTATTCAGTTAAAAATTTTTCTATTTCAAGATTTGTTATTCTTCTGAGCTTAGTTGGCTTGTTAGTTTTAACAGCTGCTTTAGTTATTATATCATTAAATTCTGGGTTTATTCTGTAATTAATAATTACAAGGTGCGTTCCAAAATAAACAGTAAAAAATTAACAAAGTAAACTCTAGTTTCGCCATCTATATGTGGACTAGTGCGTTAAAATCTGCTATCCTTCCAGTAAAAATTTCATGACATTTCATCTATTGGAAGTGAAGTTATTGCACTTACACTTAAAGTTGGTATGTTTTTGTCATCGGTGCGAAAATAAGCTTCCAACAAAGAGCCAACATTAAATTTTGTTTTAAAATTGGTAAAACTTTTACCGAAACGTTTCAATTGATGGAACAAGTTTTTGGCGATGATTGCCTATCCCGTGGCAGAGTGCACGAGTGGTCGTGGTCGCGGTGAAAGTGGTCGTGAGGACATAAATGAGAAATGAGCCGAAACCCAAAAAATCGCGCCTGGAGAAGTCAAAAGGAAAGACAATACTGATTTGTTTTTATGATTCCAAGGGTATTGTCCACAAAGAATTTGTTCCACCCGACCACAACGTTAATGCTGTATTGTACCTTGGGGTTTTAAAGCGTTTGGTGCGCCGTTGTTGTTGTTGGTGTAACGATTACCTAGTCCCCGTTTAGGGGACCAGATTCGTTGTCGTCGAGGTCATCTAACGGGAGGCCCAGGAAACGAGCTGTTTCGACGGGGTCGGACCATAGGGCGAAGGGTGTTAGATGAGTCGAGTTTGTTGGG